TAGAGCTTCTGGATAATTAAATTTGCATCTTACTGTCAAAAAATGTATTGTATATAAAAAGAAGACCTCAAGACATAAAATATATTAAACTATAAGTTCCCTGAATATTGTGCCTAACATGGATACTCACAATCCATGTGTTTGTAATAAATATGCTGGAGACTTTGGGTAAGTTACTTAAATTTTCTGTGTCATTCATTCATTCAGCATTTGTTTTATGAACCAACTATAATGGGAATAAATATAAGAAATCATTGTAAGCTTTGAGCCTACCAAGCTGCTGTCACCTTTAAGTGAGGTAACACTAATAAAATGTGGAGGCAGAGATTACTAATGCTTTGCAACAAGTATGACTCTTCTTCTTCCAAGGCATGCAGCTAGACTACACTTCCCAGACTTCCTAGCTGTTAGATATGGTCATGGGATTTCATTTTGGCCAATGAAATATAAGCAAAAGTAATAAGTACCATTACTAGGGTTGGCCCCATCAGCCAGGCGATGAAGAAAAATCTGAGAACTAAGAGGAAGACCTAGTGACAAGATGGAGAATCTGGGTCCATGAATGATGGCATGGAGTCTGGCCCCCATCCATCTGAAGTGCACTGTGTTAAGGGCAATGAATAAGCTGTTGTTAAGTTAAGCCACTGATATTTGGGTTTTGTTACAGCAGTTACATTAGTTTAATACAAATCCTTAGCAATATTGACCCACTGCAGACACTAAATCAATTATATGTTTATGTTTTAAGATAAATTCTTAGTTCTCTTGCTATATGTTTTATAAGACTAAAGAGGGAGGGAAGAAGGGAGGCAGGGGGAAAGTAGAAAGGAAGAAAGGAAGAAAGAGCTTTTCTTGTAAATAGCTCTTTATAGATTTTATACCTGGTGCCATTTGATCATCCACAATTCTTAGGGAAAAATTTTCCAAATTCCCTATTTCCTCCACAACTAAATGAAATTTCTGTGTGGATCTGTGGTGCCAGGGCTTCCTTCCTACTATCTCGGGCTGCAGCTGTCCCTCAATTTGACAACCTTCCTCACATCAGATCCTCAAAGCACCTGCTTTGGATGGGGCCCAGGGAGAGGGATGGGAAAGCCCTTTGCCATGACTTCACCAAAGCAGATGACAGCACTGGATGACGTGCTTGTGAGCACTATATGGTCTGCTTGCAGGCCCAGATCACTGGGCAGAGAAAGACACACCATCAAGTTCTGGGTATGCTCTGTTTATACCTATAACTCAGCCAATACCTGGAAAATAAGTGATCTCAAATACTCTAGTAAAAAAAAATGCACCTTTACTTGCTACTTAATAGAAGTCAGCTTTTCTTCTTTATGTTTTTAAGATTATAGATGTAATGCATGTTTGCAGTAGCAAGTTGAATATGCAGAGGTAGAAAGAGAATATTTTATTTTTCCTTTCTTCTTCTAAATTATCCCTGCCCACTGGATAATCAGGGTATTTCATCTTCAGACAAGCCAATGCACATTTCCCCCCCAACATAAATGGGATTATACAATATGCATTTCCATTCAAATTGCTTTATTTAACAGAACAATTTATTATGAGTATCCTTCCAGGTGAGTATATCATATTTAACTCTAATATATTCTTTGAAAATAACTGAATAACATTACCTGGGAGGAAATACTATTTGTTGAATATCAAGACATCAACAATTTTAAGAGTTAATAATTGTTGATCCTTTTTTTTTTTAGGGAAGTGTAATGTTAAATAGACCGATTTACAGTAGACAACATTCTTACTTAACATGGGCGAAAGTGTATAGGAAATATATGTCTATATATTATACACATATTGGAAATATAGAGAAGCTAGGAAATTGTGGCAATCTTGGTATCATGGTAACCACAATCTCTGAGGGTGTGTCTGAAGCACGTTTCTGCATGGGAAACAAGGTTCTTGACTAAGTCTTGGTACCAGGAGCACCTCACCCTTCACCGTGGCATCCTCCCCTCTGGGGTATGGCTTGACCTGACCTGACACCTGGCATCTCTCCTACTTTTTTGCATGCAGAGTTGACTTGATACTTCTGGGATCTGGCTGATGGAGGGAAGGAGGGGCGAAGGGAGGAAGGAGAGGAGGGAGGGAGGGAGAGAAGATGCTGCAGGCATTAACATGCAGATCACAACCCTCCCTTTGTTCTCTGGTCTGAGGTCAGATGGAATTAATCACTCAGCCTCTGCATGCAAAGTCCTTCTCCGTCCAAGTGTGCACTGCCCACTTCAAAATCAACAGTTAGAGTCAGCAGGAGCAAAGGAGAACCAAAGGACCTCTTTGAGCAGCACATCACTGCTCCAAGGAACCTGTAGCTGTGGGGGGGCTTTGCATCTTCTCAAAGTCTTCACATTTTAGGTGGGAGCAGCCAGTCTAGACTCTTTGAGGTCCAAGAATACAATTTGCTACTAGAAATGTCCACTTTTGATCATCTGCTGCATAGGTCTCTTCCAGACATAAGTGCACAACCTAAGCTGTGCACTTAATATATATCACTTAATCCTTCCTGATCCTTTATTATTGTTATTATTTATTATATTAAATTTTTATTGATTTCAGAGGAAAGGAAAAGGAAGCAAGAGACAGAAACATCAATGATGAGAGAGAATCATTGATTGGCTGCCTCCTGCACGCCCCACACTGGGAATTGAGCTCACAACCCACATACAGGCAACCCCTTGACTGGAATCGAACCTGGGACCCTTCAGTACAACACTCTATCCACCGTGCAAAACTGGCTAGGGCCTTGCTGGATCCTTTGAGGAAGATATTATTTACATGCTACAGATGAGGAAGCCAAGGCTCAGAGAGATTCTGTGGTTTGTCTAAGACTACACAGCTTTAGGGTATAAGCAGCATGGAAGTGTGCTTCCTCATTTAGCCACCAGCCTGGTATCAACTGCAGGTGTCCCCAGATGTCTGAAGTTAGCCTGCAGGTGCCCTGGCCTCCTGCACCAACTTTGCTGTCCATGTATTCATCTTTCAAGATGTGGACCCTCGTTGGGCCCTGCAGAAGGAAGCTAAATAGCTCTGCTCTAACCCAAAGAGACACTCAAAGTCTTTGTTTGTTCAAACTCCCTGAAGTCTGTAAATACAGGGCCTTTCAAGTCCACTCGGGCATTCTGACCATAATGAAAAGCTTTTACACATAATAGAACCCTAAGGATCATCATCCTCAGACCCTCATTCTATAGATGAGCAGATGGGGTGGGTGACAGGTGATGATGGTGGAGCAGGGACTACATAAAGGACTAGAGCAGGGTTCACAAATCATGGCCTGTGGGGTGACTGGGCCCTCCACCTGACTTGGTAAATATGGTTTTATGGGAACACAGACATGCCCCTTTTTATGGATTGTCTATCATTGGCTTCTCCCTATTTCAAAGTGGAACAGTTACCACAAAGACCGTAATGTATTCTAAATATTTAATGTCTAAATATTTATTTATTTATTTATTTTATTTTATTTTTAAAATATATTTTTATTGATTTTTTACAGAGAGGAAGAGAGAGGGATAGGGAGTTAGAAACATCAATGAGAGAGAGTTATCGATCAGCTGCCTCCTGCACAGCCCCCACTGGGAATGTGCCCACAACCAAGGTGCATGCCCTTGACCGGAATCAAACCCGGGACCTCTCAGTCCGCAGGCCAACACTCTATCTACTGAGCCAAACCGCTCCCGGCTAATATCTAAATATTTATTATTTGGCCCTTTCAAAATATGTTTGCTAACACCTGGAAAAGACAGCAACACACAGGTTGATTTGAGTTATTGGTAACTTTCTAGTTCTTAGAGTGTTAGGTTCACTGGTGTTTGCTATGTTGTGATGAATTAATGACCGAAGGCTATATATGGATCGTCGATAGTCATGTATAACCAAGGAATGATAATTATCAAATTCTCTGCCCCTGAAAATAGACCAGATGGTGGGAAAGAAGGGAGAAAGGATGAGGTCGTTTATCCCACATTAAGATTTTAATGGTTCCTTGTCACCTACACCTGACTTTCCACTGTTGTATCTCCCATGCTCCAAGGTGTAGGAGGACAAAAGGTGTCGGATGAGTAAAGCAGGTGTTTCAGGGTCACAGTGAGCATGTTGGGTTCTATGAGATGGGAAGGGGTTTGGCTGAAGACGAGGCTATTAAGGACAGTCACAGCCCAATTTTTCCACTTCATTCACAAGGGGCCTTTTCCCTGGGTACCTCAGGAGTGGCCTGAGGGGTCAGGGCTCCAGGTCTGTTGTTAAGACCTCCCTCTACCTGTCAAGTCAAGGTTGGCCTTTAAAAGGCAGCAGCATGACGGTCCTGTCAGACATCCCCTTGGGTAATTATGAGCATGAATGAAGGCACTCTGGGCCATGACATGTATTGCTTTAACTCCAAAACAATCTTGTGAAGCGAGGACCACTGCCCTCCCCATGTTACAGATGAGGCTGCGGGGCTCCTGGTGCACAAGTCACTTGCCCAGAGACATAGAGCTGATGAATGATGAAACCAAATTCAAATCCAGACTCATCTGACTCCAAAGCCCACACTCTGCAGCCCCATGACACTGGCTGAGGCCATGCCACCCCAAGAAAAGCACGTTTTCACCATTCCAACTAGTCACCGTGCCTCACAGAGCATTCCAGCATGTTGAAGGGCAGCTTGGGCCATCTCCACCCTGGCAAATGTCAGGGGATTTGCACATTCAAAGAAATGTTCCGGTCCCCAGTGGGAAAGTTCCCAACAGCTTCCATTAGACAACAGTCACAGTTCATTGACCCCCCTGAAGCTCACAGGGGCGGTTTTATTGCTTTATAGGTGAAAAGTCAGGGAAACGTGGAAAGATTGAGAAGTATTTCCAAAGTCACATGAACCAAAAGGTCAATTGAATGGGGGTGGAGGCGGTCGGAGGGGGAGGCGGAGAGCAGGCAGAGAGGCAGCTGAAAAGTATTTGTGGCACCAGGGAGAATAGACTGGGATGTGCACGAAAGGGAACCGTGGCTATGAATTTCAGGGCATCAAGGCCCTGTCAACACAGCTAATCCCCACGGATGTTGGCTGAATAAGCCTCCGATGACCAAACAAGCACACTGTGGAAACCGTGTCAGCCTCCAGCAGGCCAATTTGTCCTCATATTACACACTCTGCTGGCTCTGTTGCCAGACCCCCAGCTCGAGGATCCACGGTGAGCGTCCCCCCAACCCGCCAAGGGTTGACACAGCACAGTTACTAAGTCAACAGCATTCAGAAACCACGACCGGATTAAGCAGGCGGTTTTATTTTGGTGGCCTGGACTTCAAGCAGATTAACTAATCAAAAAGCCCCAGCCATCGGGGTCATGTTTGAATGCTACAGCTGTTCGCCGAGTTGACAAATGTTCTTTCTGTGGCTTGTCATCTGAATGGGACGGGCAGGGATGATCGCGGGGAGGTCGACACTTTCAGAAAGAAGAGGGTCGTAGTCAAAAGACCCCGTAATGGAAAACAATCCCCGCCAGATGGAGACGGGCAGAGGACTGCTTGAATAAGGGTCTCCTGAAAGCCACAACTGTCTCTGCATTGAAGAAAGCACAAGCAGGCAGCGGGAAAAGCGAATGAAAAGCTGGACTGCGAGTTGGCATGTGGATCTGCTAATTAATAGAAGGGCTGCAGGTCAACATAGGACGCCTGCAGTCATGAAAGGTGAGCCATGCTGTGTCCATCCCCTCACCCCTCAGAGAAGTCCCCTGGGGAGGCATGGGATCCCCTCAAAAAGGTGTCGGTGGGAAACCTAGTTTCATGTTGTCTGTCTCTAGAGACCAAACAGAGCAAACAAATGTCTCTGAGGGAGAATGTGTGCTTGCCACATTGGGTCAGAGGCAGGCATGGGGATGAATGTGCCCAGCCATGATCAGACATGCAGATGCCATGCCAATCGCCATTTCATACAAAACACCATGCTTCAAGTTGGGGTCCATAGGTGGGTGGAGTGGGACAAAAGAAAGAATGAACTAACTGGCTGCAATTTTGGAAATATAAGCCTTTCATTAATAGATCAGTGGGTTTTGGGGAAAATGTGTTCTCTTGATGAAGATTTGGTTTCCTACAGCCAGTTAATGCCTGAGACCCACAGCCAAAGTGCAGATTGTTGACTAATCTTGGATGGAAAGATGTTTGGCTTTGAAAGGAATCATTTAGGTTATTTGTAAGAATTAGAAAGGAAAAATGAGGGCTTTGCTCTTTTTTATTTTGGAAGAGGGAAGAGGCCATGATGTCCTGCATCCCCTGAGCTCAACTACACTGAGCAGAACCTCCCCAGACACCTTTCCTTTGCCCCAAAGCACTGCTCACATCCGGAGAGAATTCAAGGGACGGGATGCAAGGCATTTGACAGCCAGGCTTTATTTTCCATAGTTCAGGCCCCAAACAAACAAACAAACCTCTTTCAAGACCACTTTTTATGAGGAGGTAATTATTTTGAGTTTTCAATATAATTGCGTGGCCTTGTGAATTCCTGTACCAATTGAACAAAGTGTCCTTGTCAGATATTTGCCCTATTTTGAAATTCAAATCTCAGCAGAAAAGAAGGGATGATACAGCTACTCTGGAGAAGAATCAGGCAGTACTTAGAAAGCTCCCATCCTCTGAACTTTCTGATTGATTCCCGAGACCCTCTTCCACATTTTTTCACGGCCACATTCCTCACAGGCAGGGAGCTCTGTGCGTAAGTGCTCTTTGCAGCATAATTTCTAACGAGGGAAAAAGTCAATGACTCAAATGCTCATCAGTAAGGGAGGAAATAAATGGTAAAAGACATGGTCCCACCATGGAATATTGTATAGCAGTTAAAAGAAATGAATTAGCGCTCTGTGTATCCATATGAATAGATAACTTTTGAGTGACTAGAGTAAAATGCAGAATGAAACCTGCTGCTGATTATATTTACGTAGGTTATTATAAACCACTATATAAAAAAAACAGTATTATGTATATGCTTTTGTGTGTGTGTTTGTGCGTGTATGTGTATAAGTATTTGACAGGCAACAAAGCACAGCAGGTAAGAACCCTGACAGGCTCTGTAAGCAGAGTGCTTGGGTTCAAATCATGACTCTATTACTTATATGTGTGACCTTGAGCGGTGATTCGAAGCTGTTCTTGAAGCTATTGTCTTTGCCTCAGGTGCCTCACCTTCAAAATGGGGATAATAGTAGAACCGAATGTAAAGGTTAAGAGGGGTATGCATATTCTGGCTGGGTGGGGTCCAGCCAGCCCACGCTGATTGGGGCCAATTGGGGCCTGACTGGCTGGTGGGAGGGGCTGTGGGAGATGGGAGTGTGGTAAGTGATCAGAGCCGCAGTTCAAGTCAAAGCAACCTGTCATTTTGGTTGTTCTGGCCTTATGGTCGCTTGTCATACGAGCGACCATAAGGCCAGAACAACCTTCAGAGAGAAAAGGAGATAAAGAGAGAAATAGAAACATTAATTATAGAGAATCATAGATCAGCTGTCTCCTGCACACCTGCTACTGGAAATCAAATCATAACCTCCTAGTTCCTAGGTCGGAACTCAATCACTGAGCCACACCAGCCAGTCTGTAGGAACATGTTAGACCTGTCCTATCCAATGTGCTACCCATTGGCACCATGTGACTAGTCACATTTAGATTAATTAAAATTAAATGCAAATAAGAATTCAGTTCCTGGGCTACCGTTGTCACCTTGCAGAGCTCAGTGGCCATATACAGCCAGTGGCTACCACACTGGACAGCAGATGTAGGGAGTTTCTGTTTGCCCTAGGTGAGCTGCTCCTGCTCTCCAGTGTGGTTTTCCTGCTCCGGGTGGCTTGTGGATGCCCTGAGAAGTGCCATTGTCAACCGACCTTGAATTCTGTAGACTGCAGCTGCCGGGGTCTGGCTGAAATCCCTCCCGATCTGCCTCCTCAGACTCTCACGCTGCATTTACAAGATAACCAGATACACCAGCTCTCTGCTTCTGCATTCAGGTCAGTGCCACAGCTCATGACCTTGAACTTGGGCAACAATTCGCTTTCCATTCTGGCCCCTGGAGCTTTCCATGGACTTCAGCACTTGCGGGTCTTAAACCTGACCCAGAACTCCCTACATTCCTTGGAAAGCGGACTTTTCCATTCCCTCCCTCAGTTGAGGGAGCTGGATGTGTCATCCAACAACATCAACCACCTTCCAGCCGCCTTGGGTGAGCGCTGGGAGAACCTAACCCTGTTCGCCGTCCAACAAAACCAGCTTCAGCAGCTGGATCGGGTGCTCCTAGAGTCCATGTCCAGCCTGAAGCTTCTCTTTCTCAAGGACAACCTCTGGAAATGCAATTGCCACTTGCTGGGTCTCAAACTCTGGCTGGAGAAATTTCTCTATAAAGGTGAGTAACATCTGTTTGGAAAGCCCAGCTGTGGGTCACTCGCCTGGGGTAAACCTCATCTGTTCTCTGTATTAGAGAGAACCTTGTGGGGTGCACGAGGGGCCCGTAGAAGCTTTGTCCTCATCGGTGTCATGTAACAGTGTGGCAGAGACATGAGTCACTAAAAGAGGTTTACATTCAGGTTTTTTAAGTCATTTTACAAATCCGGTTCATGGAGATAACTTTCCACTTTTTGAGTGACAACAGCATTAAATGATTTATCAGGAAACTGGGGGCCCTTAAAAAGGAGGGAAATTTGGTCTCCATCTGAATAACTGCTGACCTCCAAACTGGAATCACATTCAGTTTTCAAATGTGATCCGCCCGTGGCCTGGTATCTGTCCCTGGGACATCCCCCCTGTGTCTGCCTCCACCCACCGGCAGCTACACATCCTCCCGAAGGCGGTCCCTCTGGTTAGCAAGTACCAGTTACTGAAGTTGGGTGCAACAGGGCCCCTCTCTAAAGTGACTATTTCTTTAACTAGATGTCAAAACCAAAGCAAGCAACCCTAGAATATTAAAGATGAGGGGATCTGGAAATCCCCCAGGGGTCCGCAAGCAACAGCCCGAGGGCCAAATCCAGCCCTCCCCCGTTTTGGTAAAGAAAGACTTTTGGTAAAGAAACACACCACACCCATTTGTTATTTATTCTTTGTGGCTGTTTTGCACTCTAGTCTAAGGGCAAACTTGAATAGTTTTGATAGGATATATACAGCAAAGCTTACCATATTTGCTATTGGCCCTTTAGAGAAAAATTGGTCAATACTAGCTTGTAACCAATGGGAAACAGAAGCCCAGGGAGGCTCAACAACTTGCCCAAGATGACAAACTGGAAGCTCAGAAGAGAAAAGAGTGAATGGAATTGAGTCTTGGCCTTAGGTCCTCCCTCTATACCACAGTGGTTCATTTATTCATCCTTATATTTGAGTGCCTCTTATATGCCTGGCATTTTTCTAAGCACCAAGAAAAGGCAAGTGAACAAGAAAATCCCTATTATCACAGAGTTTATGACCTGGTGGTAGAAACAGATGGTAAATAAGATATCAAATATCCATGTTCAGAAAGCAGTTAGTGCTAGGGAAACTGAGGCAGGGGAAGGGGAGGGAGGGATGGGATGGAGTTCCACTTTAGTTAGGAAGGCCAGGGAAGGCCTCTCCAAGGAGGAGACATGGGCCAGCAGAACCTGCTCAGGAGGCAGGAGCTGTGAGCTAAGTGGAGGAGAGAAGCAGTGCAGAGGGCTTGACTGGGAGTGAGCTTGGTTTGACTAAGGATGAAAGAGTGCTTGGAGGAGAGGAAGGGAGTGAGAGAGAAGACAGAGATAAGATAACACAAGTACTCAGGGGCCATCATGTAGGAACCAGAAGAGTAGGCAGAGGCCTTTGTATTTTATTTTAGGCGAGATAAAAATCTCCTGAATTTTACTTAGAGGAACAATGTGATCTGATTACAATTTAAAAGGTCACTCTGTGGACTCTAGGGAGAGCTGACTGAAAGCTACCAGAGAAGAAACAGGGGAATGAGGGGGACGTAATCAGACATCCTGGGAAGAGGTGGAGGTGGGCCAGACCAGGCTGGTGAGAAGTAATCAATGTTGGGAGACATTTGAAATACTGAACTGACAGAAATTGCTAACAGGTTGGACTGGAAGATGAAGGAGAATAATCAGGGAAAATTCAAATTTTTGTCCTGCAGGAATAACCAGATATAGGATGTCAATAGTTTATAAGGGGCAGACTGGGGAATGGGAAAGGAGGAAGTGGGTGAGTGTGTGTGAGAGAGAATAAATAACACCTGAGTTGGGGGAAGATCAAGTTTGAGATGCACATTTCATGTCCAAGGAAGCTGTTGCATTGGTGGATGTACATTTAAGCCTCTCTGATACAGGAAGAGAGCAGAACTACGGATGTGAATTAGGGACTTAGCCAAGTTGGATGGTGTAGCAGCTAAGAGGACAGAAGGAAGCAGGTTAGAGCTCACCATGAGTTCAAGTACACAATGTCGAGTTGAGACTCCCTCTCAACAATGTAGAAGCAAACAGCTTATCACTAAGCAGCTAATCTTAGAGTTGACCTACAACAGGGACTACATACAGTGGTAAAAATCTTTCTTACATCTAGAGGTGAAGTTGCTTCAGCTATTGTGTTTTAGACTTCATGGTAAACATGAGCCAAACAGCCATAAAAAAGATAGTTTTTATCAAAGAAGAATATTTCTTGACAAAGAAAGAAGATAGTTCCTAGGTTCAGGACACTAGAAGGAACGTGGGAGGGAGGGATGCTCTGCCACAAACTTGCTCATGAGCATTGGACAGCCATGCACCAGCTCTCAGGTCACCAGGTGAAACTGACAGTGCTGAGCCAGGAGCTCCTGAGACCTATTCTGATCCTGATTCCGTGACTCAGTTCAACACCCCCTCATGGCAGAGGTACCTGGCACAGACAACAGCCCTTCTGTAGAAGGTGGAATGGATTTGGGGGTCACAAGATCTGGGGGACCCAAAATAACTAGGAAACTGCCCACCCCCCTCCAAATAGATGCTAAATGTAGGAGACAATCTGACTTATTGATTTAATGAATAAAGGTAAAACGAAGGGCTAGGTACACTGGTCAAGACCTTCTTTACAAAAGAAGCATATATAGACACAAACCCTAGCAGTGTTAGTCAGAACAGGCTGATTGATTGACACCCATCTCAGTGATGCACAGGATAGAAGACATTCGTGTGAGTCCCAGGGAGTTGGGGGAGGAGCTGGGATTGGTGCTTAAGTCCTTCAGGGACTTAAGCCCCTTCCAGCTTTCGACATTTCCAACTTGACCACGTGGCCGCTAAGGTTAACACCAAATGGGAACAAAATGCTTGGAGAATTAAGCAGGGGTTTGGGGGCCTAGAAGTGACATTCGCTGGTTCCAGTGGCTAGAACTCAGTCACACGGCCCCAACCTGACCACAGAGGGTGGGGAAACTTCATCATCCTGTGGGTCTCAGCCAAAACACATGCTGTGGTGAATACTTAATAATGTCTTCCCCACAAAAACATGTGCATAGATTTTGTCATTAGTATTCCTCCCTCTCCATTCATAAGTAACAAATCACTTTTATGCTAATAGCTGTCTGTATTAAACATTTATTCTGGGCTAGGTATTGTGCTAAATACTTGATATAGGTTATTCAACTTGATATATGTTAGTCTTCAGAGCAGTCTTATGGGGTGAATTTCATTATTTCCCCCTTCCACTTTCCAGATGAGCAGGCAGAGCACAGAATGGTCAAATATTTTTCTTAGAATTAACTGCACAGCTAATTGATGATCAGACTCAAGATTTAAATCAAATTTCTTTCAAGACAGTGGTTAAGAGCTACCAGTGGCCAGATGGGGAATAACAAGTGCTTGGCAAGCTGGAGCTTCTTGCCTTGTCAGCTTCCATGAGTCTAGAGGGTGTGGGACTCTCAAGCTGTCAGCAGACATGCCTCCTGGGTGGAAGGCTGGGACGTGAATCTGGGCTGAGGACACAGGTGCACAGGAGGCCATGGGGCTCTTGGTGGCCACAACCCCTGCCTTCCAGGCATGTCCAGGGCTCTAGTGTGTGTATTTCCTCACCACCTGCATATCCGCTCAGAAAGGAGGACATTCCTCTGACACCTGTTTACTTTAGAGTTGGGGCTCTTGGCTCAGGGGGTTACTGATGAAGCCAGGGGGGCGGCCAGGAGGCTAGCAGGTTCAGATTCAGTTTCAAGTAGCGGTAGCAAAAGAGGTGTGGGGTGAATTTTGTCAAAGCTTCTAACCCCGATGTGACCTGGGCCAGATAACCCTTGAATTGCAGAATGTCCCCGTCTACTAATGGGGCCACATAGGACTCGGCTTATAAGGCTCAAATAGAATGATGTGAGAGAAGGCATTCCCCAGTCACTGCAGTGCCATGAAAGGGAAGGTTTGATTCCTACTGAAGTGACTGCCTCCTGCGTGTGACTTTCCGGAGTTATTTCAGAGTTCACCTGTGGCATGCACAAAGAACCTGTGGTCTCCCTTGGCTGAGAGTGGTATCAGGCTTCACAGCCATCCATGGGGGAGGAACAGAAGAGTTCAGGGCAGCCAGGGGAACCGAGTCACTGGTTATGGGGGTGGGACTCAGTCCCAGCAAAGAAAGGCTTTACTGAGGGTCATTGTGTAACTCCGCTGACCTTGGGACACGCCAGGAAGGAGGAAATAGAGAGAAGGAAGGAAGCAGAAACAGAGTATAGTGGGGAAATCTGGGATTAAGGAAGTGAGCTGGGTTTGGATGTTCTGTCCCCTTATGACCTGGGTGACCTTGGACAAGAATGACCATTGTAGCAGAGTTGTGAGGACTAACCTATCAGTGATTCATAAACGATCAAGTTGGATACAAATAGATATTTTCATGGCAAAAGCTGCAGTCAGAGAAGTTGATTCGCCTGAGGTCACATACTAAATTGGTGATCAAGCTTGGCCGGAAGGAACCTGTTAGCCCATTGCTCTTTCTAGAAAAGAATTACTAGGCACGTGGTCTACTTATCTCAGGAAATCAGTCACCTTACAGATAATAGAAACTGAATCTAAAAGCCACTGGAAAGTTCAGTACACCCAGGTCTAAATGTTTCAAAGCAAGGAAGAGACATGTTCATTACCCTTAATCCCATGATTACATTTAACTAATGTAATTACCAAATCTTCAGATATGCAAAACACTCAAAGACCATGACCTCCCATTTGGCAACATGGAAGAGTGTTGCCAGACACATAGGGTCTTTGTAATTAACACATAACATCACAACAAAGGAGGTTTTTTTTGTTTTGTTTTGTTTTTTAAGATGTCCAGTGGGAGTTGGTACAATCGGTTTGGTTGTGCAGAGGGCTTCGTTAGGGGCGTGAGCGCCCTCAGGTTGGCCTCCGGTGCCCCTTCTTGTCAGCTTCGCATTGCTTTGCCTTCGGCGTTTTATAAGGCAAAGGTGACCTGGCTTTTAATGAATTCTTGGTCAGACATAATTGCCAATTTAGTGTGACTTTTTTAACATTTGGCCAATTTAAAAATCCTAAAATCATAAAATGTAGTTGTTAGGTTCTTTGACTTCGGGAGGCGGGGAGGAGGAGGAGGGGAGAGAAAAGATGCTTTATAAATTCCATCTGCCGAAATTTTCACAGGTTGAGGCTTTGGAATTCAGAACTAATCAATTGTGTCAGGCTCTGTTATCATCCTTTGCTTTTTTTTTTTTTTTTTTTTTTTTTTTTTTTTTTTTTTTTTTTTTTAAGGGGGAGTCATGGACAGTGTCATCTGTGCGTCACCAGATACTTGGAAGGGAAAGGACCTCCTTAAAATCCCGCACGAGCTGTACCAGCCCTGCCTTTCTCCCTCTGCAGATCTGGAGTCCTGGCCAGGGCAGCCGCTGAGTCCTGCCCAGCAGGCTGTCCTGAGGCCTCCTAAGAGCCACAGTGTGGAGGAGCAAGACCCGTCCGACTGTGAGCTCAAACCCAAGCCCAGGCCCGCCAATCTGCGTCGCGCCTTGGTCACGGTCATCATCGCTGGGGTTTTGTGCGGGATCCTGTGTCTCATGATGCTGGTGGCCACCATCTATGGCTGCACCTATGCGGCCATCACGGCTCATTATCGGGAGGCACCTGTGGCTCAAACCATCGAGCCTGCGAAGACGGAAGAAAAAGAGCTGCTTGACAACCCACCAGCTTGAGTGCTTTCGTCTCGAATAGGAATAGTCACTTTAGGCCAGAAGATAGTCTCTGAGGAGGGCTGATATGTCCACTGTTCCGGCCCCGTTTTGCTTTTTCCAAAAGAAAACACAAAGGATGTGTCTTTAAAAAAATATTTCGGAGGAGAAATTTATGTTGAGATTTTCAAGTTTTAAATACTGTACATGAACTAGAGATGATACTTGTGTTCTGTGCCTGAGAAGTTTCTTAGACTTATTCTGTGTGGGAGAAGGCCGTGCACAGAGGAACGGGGGCTACCATCTCTTTCAGGTCCTCTTTGGTCCATGAAGTTGCTTTTACAGAGCACGGAAAGGCAAACACGTGTGCCAGTCAGCATTCCTCGGAGCTTTACGGTCCATTGGAAAGCTGCCCGATTGTGAGCGCCTGGGAAGAGGCTGGGGAGCTTACCCAAGGGGCACCGAATGCCTCTATAATTCAAGTTCATGCTAGATCGGTGATACTTTCAGATGTTGTGTATGTTACATATTTAATGGGAGCGTCTGTTGGTCCGGAATTTCGTAGCCTGCCACAAGAGTCAGATTATACTTAATTTTCTAAATTAGAAAACCATTTGGGGCTCTCTAGGCCACAGAGGAAGAAGAGGGTTTCATGTCTGCGTAATGGGACCCGGGCCCAGGGCCTGGGGAAGGTTTTAGATGTGAGGGTAAATAACATATAAACAAACACAAAGAACACGGGGAGCTGGAATCCGGGGCACATCCCATGGAGAGGCCATATCCACCAGGCGAGGGGAACCTTCCATTGGTAACTCACAGCAGGAATGAATTTAGGGTGGGCTGGGAGCGAGGGAAGGGCTTGAGAGTATCTGCATCCACACCAGAGTGCAGGAGTGCGCAGACTTGGGCAGCCACACCCACGCGTAAACACTCGCGGAGCAATCAGTTTACCCGCTAATGAATCGCAGCCGTGGCGTGGTGGAAGCCAGCAGCTATTGACCACCACCCAGATTGTCTACTCAACACTCTGGAAGAGGAAGGAAGAAGGAAGTCTGAAGAGAGTGGGAATTATCAAGAGACTGGAGCTATGTGGCAGCAGCCACCCTGAACAGCATGTAGGCCGTGGTTTAAAACAATCAGGTGGGGCTTGCTTTGCTGCACAGACACGGTCCTGGAGAGTTGCATGCAAAGTGAATTTCTGTAAATTGAATCATCGTTTTAATGCAGTAGGGGAGCTCGCTATTTAAAGGAACCTTTCATGGAATCTTTCTGTAATGACAATAATGAGCTCCAGATTTATGCATTTTGTAAATTTGCATTTTCTCATGCCAGGTTTTCTTAAAGTGGAACCTACCTGCTCTCTCTCCTGATGGCCCGTCTCATACTTAGTCACCTGTTAGTATTAAATAAATCACTTTACACCGAAGAGTGAAAGACACATCAAAAGCACACAATAGCAACTAGAGAGCAAGCTATCCCTTCAGAGACCTTGACAGACATTGCTAATCAATCCCAGCACTCTTCCCAGCTGAGCCTCTATGCACTACAGATGCCTTCTTAAGACAGCACTGTAGGCAACCAGAACTAATCAATTGAAGTTGGTTCAAAGGACAAAATACATTTGCCATTCAGGGTACTGGCTCCACATACACTCCTTCAGGCCATGGAAAAACTGGTTTGAGTCTTAAATCAGTAGTTCATTCCCTGACCTGAAATGTGAATGGGAGGTCTGAACATGCAGGCGCAGTGACTTGTCTGATGTGGCCAGACCTCTACCCAGCAGCATAAGGAGCTGAGGAAAGCAGATGATGAACCTACCACAGCCTACCCTGCAGGACACACACTAACCTGCCCCTAACCATCACAGAGGCCATCTACCTACCCCTGCCCACAGTGCTCCACAGCTAGTGTAGGCTTCACGCACACACACAAGCTAATGATGGACCATCTTTTCGAAGGAGCAATTTTGCTAAATGATTTTTCTGGGGGGGGAAAGTATAAACTTTGATGTTAATTTTCCTGAATATTAAAATAAATCTGGATATGTTTGGATTGAGAAATTAGCATGGATTTTAAGATCAAAAAGAGACCCCAGAGAAAGCCAGCTGTTCCATCCCAGTCCTGGTGCCTCCTTCTGGCTCAGTTGGCAAGGCTGAACATCCGGTTGAAGGATGTGGTGAAAAAAAAATCTTCCTTTCTCTTGCCCTGGAGTGCGAGTCCTTGGACGAGAAAGCAGTACGAGGAAGGAAACTTAGATGATCCTTTTTCATGTCGTCCCCATTTCACCAAATGTTTCCAGAGCTTGCACTATGTACCAGGCATAGTGTGAGGCGTTCTCTCGAGCATCTGTCATGGAATACTGGCAACCACCCTGGGAGATACTTGAACAGATATTACATAAGCTGAGATCTACTGAGGCCAATAATCCATTTCCTCTCGCTGCTGTGATTTCATACTGTCAGTGCTCAGGGCTCTGCCAGAGGTTTGGTGACACTGCAGGCAGGCCTGTCCCCTCTCCACAGTAATCACATGGAGAGCATCCAATACACCACAGAAAACCCTGACTGTGGCTAGATCCTTCATTCGTCAACACCCGTGTCCTCTTAGATTTCTAAGTACAGATGATAACTCAGGCAAACAGATCCCTGCTTTATAAACAGTCTTTAAGAAAAATGATTAAAATGGTGCATACGTACATTCTGATTTATATCTTTTGCCTACGCATCACCACAAACGGCAGTTGGCAATGAAAATAATTACTTACCCTGAAATGTCAACAGCTTCTCAGCACAGAAAAATATAAATCAAATTGTTTAGATTAACAAATGCAGAGTTATCATTTGTTAATATGAGAAATGAAATGTTTCAACCGTAAAAAACATCGCAGATGAAAGACCCAATTTGCAGGGTATTCTGCGAGAACCACAAATTATCTTTTGCAACCACTACAGTGCATGAGGGGTAATTTGCAAACGCCTCACAGATTACTTTCAGCTGTTTATTGCCACTGTCTTGTCATATTCATAGATTCCCCTATAAAAATGGCCTTCCATCAAGAGTCTTGCTGAGGATACGCTGTGAACAAAAAGCACATAGAGTGTTGACTGTTTCTGAGAAAACCATCTACAATAGAATTTTTTCACCATATTTCGTGGAACAGTGTGATTATAGACTGGCAATTTTTGCTTTGCCAGAAATCACAGATTCGTAAGAGCAGGACCCAAGGATGCTTGTAGCTCTCTGAACTGAGGCCAACAGGAGGGAGTATAAAGAATGCACCCTGTCATGGAGATTGTGGAGAAAGGAGACCAAGTATCAAATCTATCCCGAAAAAGCTTTCAAAATTAAGGCAAAGGTCCCTGTCCCTGCAGGCAGAATCTTATGCTTACAATGATAAAATGCCAATGGGCAAATGGAGATTTTCTCTTTCCTTACAAAAATAAAAGACAGAAAAGTGATTCACAGCATCTCTTAAAGATTCATGAAGATCAAATCTCATTACTTGAGTTAACCAAGTTATCCCAGAAATTAGTCACTCTTGTCTTAACTCCTAAATATCAAAGGAAGTGGCTAAATCCATATAAAAGAATTGATATGGAGCACACATTAATACAATTATGTGTTAGAAAGCTATAATGTTCTGTTATAGATCAGTAAATAAATGTTTCCAGTCTGGTCAAACCTACCAGTGTGTCCATTGCTTAATGCTATTAGACAGAAACCTACCAGCAAATGATATTCTAACCCCACAGGGCATGACTGGGCTGTAATGTGCAACTTCAGGGAACTAGACTGTTTTCCCTCCTAATGAAATGCTTTATTATTATTTTTTTAATATATTTTATTGATTTTACACAGAGAGGAATTGAGAGGGACAGAGAGCTGGAAACTTCAATGAGAGAGAAACATCGACCAGCTGCCTTTTGCACACCCCCTACTGGGGATGTGCCCGCAACCAAGGTAATGCCCTTGACCGGAATCGAACCCGGGACCTCTCAGTCCGCAGGCTGACGCTCTATCCACTGAGCCAAACCAGTCCCGGCGCTTTATTATTTTTTTAATGCCCAAATTGCATTGAGGTCTCAAAGAAAACCCCATCCCATTCAAAAAAGCAGCTTCATAATCCACCAGTTTCCTTCACTATCCATACCTATTGTTCACTCTGACAACATTGAATGTTCATTTTGATGAATAAGATGTCACCCAATTACAAAGGTCCATAAATCAGACTCAAAGAAAAGATCAGATGATTGGGAATTAGGAAGGTCTGTTGAAAGCATTTAGTCTACATCTGGCAAATTTTTGGATAGCTATGACTAACCTCCCTACCAATTTCAGACATTGCTAGTAGATGATAGAATGCATATCTACCGAGCCTCGCCAAGGCTTCAGAATCCTTTTAAAACTATTTTATAGGTATCCTCTACTGACTAATTGAAGTCCACATATCAGATTAAACCTACTTGCTACCCCGATGTTCTTATTTTATAAATTAGAGGCCTGGTGCACAAAATTCGTGCATGAGTAGGGTCCCTCGGCTTGGTCAATGATCAAGGCTGATCTGTGGGGAGACTAGAAGGTCAATTAGGGTCTCCACTGGCACCTGCCTTGGCCAGCCTGGCGCTGCCTGTTTGCTGGCCCCATCTCCTGCTGGCTGGGGGCAGCTCCTGCATTGAGCGTCTGTCCCCTGGTGGTCAGTGTGCGTCACGGTGACTGGTCCTTCCATCTTTGGTCGATTTGCATATTAGGCTTTTATTATATAGGATAATAAAAGCATGGAAAAGGAAAGAAAGTTTCCCAAAGTCACACAGATAATTAATCACAGGCCTGGTAAATACAGTTGTAGGAGCATGGAGTTAGTATGGATGGTTCAACTCAGTCCCCGCCATTCTTTATTCATTCTGTGTGAACCACAATGTCAAGTCTATGACAGTATTATATTAACTGTTTGGATGAAGTACTATAATTGTACCACCATAAAAACTGACAAGTACACAATTTTGTGCTGGTTTCCAAGTGTATTACTGTTATTTTTTCTAAGCCTCTTATTGACCAAAACATGAGGGCACTTTGCTGCCAGATAATAGATGAAGAAATACAACTATTGAATTTGGGTCACTTATTCAAAGCACTAGTAAGTAATAAGTAGTGGAATAGGCATTCAGATACGACCTTCCTAAGGCCAAA